AAATAGTACTAGAATTGATGAGTTTAAACATAAATATAAAGGTATGTGTCAATCAAGATATATTCAAGAACAGGCTTAATGATTGATTAGATGGAACATTGTGGGTGTGGTGTATGAATGTTAACACCTTGTATTAATTCTTTAGTATGTTACTTGTGTGGTGTAGAAGATAATTATTTAAGAATGTAATTATGTAAGAATGTTAACACTCTGTTATAATTTTTTTAGTATATTACTTGTGTGGTGTAGAAGAGAATTATTTATGTAGAGATACTGCTTGCAAACCAATGATGGTAAGATGATGTCATGGGGTAGGACTGGATAAGTCTGACTTCTTCCTACTCCATTCAAGCATGTACTAGGTATAAGCAAATTGATATTGGATTAGCATTTGTTGTATATGTGTAAAATTATGTGTGTTGATATATCAACTGTCTTTACATGCTTGAAAGAATAAATCAAATCAAATCAAATCAATATTGTTTTACTTTGCATTATATTTATGTTTTAAATGATTGATTTAGATTTTTGTTTATATTGACAATACTTTGTCTGTTACTTTTCTATTCTTAACACCAGCACCTTGTTTCTATCCCTTCTTTCCCCTTCCTGAATTTCCCTCGGGATCAATAAAGTACCCATCTTTGCTGCTGTAGCGATATTAATAAAGGTTAATCTTTATATTATAATAAACATTCCTCATCAGTGAAGTGTGTCTGCAGTATGTTACTCCTTGATCACATTCAAACTAAATGTGTCAAAGAGTTATGATAACACAGATACGATTTAAGGAGGGCAAAAGAGGCTTTTGAGTCAAGACAGTAATTTATAAAACTTACATAACTTAGCTTGAAAGGATGCACACTCCTCCATATGTTGTGTTTACAGATGGGGTATTGTCTTATATTACTATCATGATATTAAACAGCCTCAGATACACGGTATAGCTAACTAACTGTTGACACATGGGTGGATTCAAAACTAGCAATAAATCAACTTTGCTGATCTTACAAATAACCAACAAGCACACACACACAAGCTCTGCAGCCCGGCTAAACTAGCATGAGAGATGGTTAGCTAATAACATTGGCACTAAGCCACAAGTCCAACTGTATAAGAAGCTTAGGCTAATTGTTAGCTTTGCACAGCTACCGGATTAGAGCGAACCCAACAAAAATAGCTAGTTACCGTTTGAGCTCATACAAAGCCGACTAATTTACCCGGAGGTTTGCTGAAAGGGGAGGCTGGCTAGCTAGCCAGGCCGAGGGGAGCGAGGCATCATCCGCTAGTTAGCTGGATGGGCGGGGTGCGCATTGACAACCTCCCCAACAACAACACAAATCCACCTCTGTGCCAAGATTAATGCTCACCTGTTCCTAATAATACATGGGATGAAAATGCTGTCCCCTCGGCGTTTCTGCGCTGTTGACAGACGCTGTCACGACGGCACCGCTCGGTATTGTCGGTGCTGTTTGTCTCGCCTGCCTGGGTGTCCGTCCTCCTTGTCTGACTGTGTCCCCTCCTTGCTGGATCTTTCTCTGTCGCTCCGCTGCGGTCTGCTGCTGTCTGCAGGAGCACCGCCTCCATCCATCCTCCACACACCCGAACTTCACATCATCTGCAGCATGGAGCTGCTGGAACAGAAATTATGGGATGTTATTGTGAAAGGAGATAGGTGATACAAAGGAGCATTTCAAATATACTGGCCAACAGACAAAGGCGTGCAAAGTGTTTGAAATGAGGGGCCCTTTATCATAGGTCCATCCTTTTCAACAGATTTTACTTTCATCACTCATTGCCTGGCATGGATAGATTACTGAGTGTATAGGCCAGGGAGTCCCTGGGCTTAACCCACAAATATAGACAGGTGACAAATTAAAGGAAAACTTGGATAAATGAGTGGTGTCTTCCAGGATGACAGTGACCCATGACCCCATCCATAGGCAAAATGGGTCACTTAATAGTTTGATGAGTATGAAAATGATATGAATCATATGCTGTGGTCTTCACTATCACCAGACTTCAACCCACTTGAACACCTATGGGAGATTTTGGACTGAAGTGTTGGACAGCATGTCCACCACCACCATCAAAGGCATGGACAGCATGTCCACCACCACCATCAAAACACCAAATGAGGGAATATCTTTTGGAAGAATGGAAACCACCAAAATAAATGGCCATGAAGTGATGAAAATCACTATGCAACCATTTAGTGTAGAGGTCATTTTGTGTCTATTCCAGTGTGCGTCTTGATCTTACAGTGTCCTTACAGTTAGCAGGGCTTTTACAGTGTCTGTGCTCCAGGACTTGTGCTGTATTTCATGTATGTTGCTGGTATGTATCATCTGGCCTGACCAAAACAATGGAAGAAACTTGTTGAAGCTGTTTACTGTATGCCTCCGTATGCCTACCATCTTCATTGGGACTGGTCCTCTATGGCTCCTCCGTGCATCTCTATGTCACCGTCTGAAGTGCCTCAAGTATTTTGAAGTGATATTATATGTGTTTCACTTTCCTGTTACAGCAAAGGAGCTTTAATAAATGAACAAGTCAGAACATGTCAATTTTGAAAAATACCTTGCATTCATTGTTATAACAAATTAATATAAAAAATACAGATTTTCAGCATTATTTAATGTCTTATTAAAGCAGAATATATACTGTAATATTTGCCTGAGAAAATGGTTTCTTGTTGTTTTCTGGGCAGAAATTCACAGCATCTTTGACAATGATAAAATGACAAGTGTTTGGTTTTGCTGTTGTAGTTCCTGAGGGTCTGTGTTTGCACAGCCTACATGTCACAGTAATGCTCAAAGCTGGGCCCTAAGACCCTCTGGGGCCCCAAGAGAACTCAAGCCTCATTGAATGTCAGTGGATGTTGGTAATTTGATTAACTGTTTCATGTCTGTCCTTCCTGGAGAAAGTATCCATCCTCTGTTACTCTTCCACAAGTTCCTTCAAACTTTCTTCATGATGAAGACTTGCTTTAGGGAGCCTGCCCGTGTCCTAATCAGAATCAGCTTTATTGGCCAGGTGTGTTGGACACACCAGGACTTTGACTCTTGTACAGTTGCTTTCAATGTGCATGTAGAAGTCCTTCGGTAAAGCAGTGAACAGACAAGTAAACAATATAAGGCTGAGAAACAAAAAGAAAAAAAAGAATGTGCAAACAAGAAAAATGCATTAGGAAAAAAATTAAAGTACTTATAAATAGATAACTATACATAGACACAGTTTAGATGCATTTTCCAGATCAATTTATACAAAAGTGTATTTACATGCATTGCAGTGAGGGTTGTTGTCCTGTCCAGAGGGGAGGAGTTCAAACTGTTTGTGTCCAGGGTGCGAGGGGTCTGCAGAAATCTTCTCTGCTCACCTTTTGGCCCTTGAAGTGTACACGTCCTCCATGGAGGGCAGGCTGGCACTGATGGTTCTTTCTGGAGTCCTGACTGTCTGCAGTAGTCTGTTCCTGTCCTGTTTTGTTGCTGAGCCAAACCAGATGGTGATGGATGAGCAATAAACAGACTCAATGATTCCTCTGTAGAGCTGTGACAGCAGCTCTTGAGGCAGGTTGAACTTCCTAAGCTGGAGCAGGAAGTACAGCCTTTTGGTTCCACCTTGATGATGGTGCTGATGTTGGATGTCCACTTCAGGTCCTGGGAGATAGTGGAGCCCAGGGGCTTGAAGGACTCTACTGCTGATAGAGTGCTGCTGAGTAAGGTAAGGAGGAGTAGGATGGGGGGACTCCTCCTAAAGTCCACTGTCATCTCCACTGTTTTGAGCATGTTCAGCTCCAGGTTGTTGTGACCTCACCACAGGACCAGCTGTTCAACCCCTGTCTGTAGGCTGACTCGTCACCGTCTCAGATGAGACTGATGACACTGTGTCATCTGCAAACTTTAGGAGTTTACGTAACAGAAGGGTCCTCTGAGGTGCAGTCATTGGTGTAGAGTGAAAACAGCAGCAGGGAGAGCACACAAAAGGTCTAAGACTAGAAGGCATCAAATGCTGTACAGACTGCAAATCCCCTTGAGGCACAATTGTGATTTGTAATATTAGGCTGTAAATAAAATCAACTTGACTTGATATTATTATCCCATGTTTCAGCCCTGTGTCAAAATTGAAGACCCTTATTAATTTTATTTATAATGTGCTTGTGAGGCTCATATTCCTAACCCTACTTTGGGGCCAGGGAGTACAACTCCATAGGAGTAGTGGTTGGTACATACTGTTCACACAATGCATAGATGGTGGCTGGCGAGGCTCATTAGTAGCCCAACAACAACGTCTTGCCATGTAGCCCCAAATATGATGATGACAAAGATACTAGATAGGTGCATACTTTTGTTACAAACGTATATATTTGAAACGACAAGGATAAGTGGTATAGTGATTCAAAACACTGGCGAATCATAGTGAATTACAACTGAATCGGACAACACAGGGTTATGAAATGAGACACCATGAGTACTGCTGATAGCTGGCAATATAATAAAGCTAAAAAACAACAAAAATTCATGAACAGTTGAGCATATTTATTTAACTGAAGAGAAAAATTCTGAGTTGGAAAAAATACTATGATTTTCTCAGTATAGGTACTGGATTTCATACAATAGCACAGTAATCCTCAATAAGACTTAACTTGCCTCCTCAGCTACACTTTGCTTTCAACACACTTTCCTCAACAACTGCACTGCTTCATCAGTACACATCTCCAACAAGTAAATGTTACAAAAAATACTTCTATATGCCAAAATATATCTGTACAGTGTCAACACACAGTGAAGGAACACATGATAAAAAAAATGTAATAGTAATGTAAAAGTAAAGTAACAAGCACAGTCCTGAAGTGGAAACATCTTTGATTAGACTGGGCAGGACACTAGACAGGGCCTGTGCTAAGATAGGTGAATTCATTTATTTACAGCTGTGGACTATATTTTGAGGGTAATCAAGATCTCACAATTAAGACAATATCCACATAAAAGACACATTTTGTGTCTCTGTTAGTTCCATCCGTTGACTGTATATACGATGGACATGGCGTCACCACTTCCCTCCATTATGCAACAGTCAAGTCAAAATATCGTGAATATGGCAGCTGCCATCTTGCTTTTGTGCAAGCAAGATTGTATATAATCAAATCAAACTTATTAAAAACACAATTACCTGAAAAATGACCCGTTATACACACATCAGCATGAAAATATCTATCAAAAACAACAGAAATCACCTCTGGGGAAAAAAAAAACATCATTTGATTCATATTTTGAGTTTTTTTGTTTTGCTCATGTCCAATCTGCTAACATGGAGGAGGCGGGATTTATGACCTATACTGCAACCAGCCACCAGGTGGCTTCACTTCTGGGAGCTGTCCATCCTATATACAGTCAGTGGTTCCTACTGCTGCATGATCCATGAAGACTCTTCAAATTACTCTATTTTACTCTAAATCACAGACTGATGACACAGTGTGGGTTTTCTGTCTGTTCTACTACTAATGATAGTTTTATCAGTGTTGAGTGATCACACTCTTTGCATTAGTAGCACAATAAAAGGCCCCAAAAGACAACATACAGATACACAAACATGATAAATTATAAAAGCTACTCAAAAGCTACTACAGGGTGACTTGTTCATTTGGAATGAAACTGCCATTATATACAAAGTAATTTAACTTACATATGTATCGTATATTATGTTTCTTGAGTAAAATCTGAGATGGTTTTGTTTAAAATATCTTCAAAGCATTATCAAAATGAAATAAATTAAGAATCTATTGCAGGTGCTTTCCAGAGCTGTTCGATGATACTACATTTGTTTCACAACTACACACTTTTGGAAAGTAACTGCAATCACCAGATGAGGTATTTTCCTCACTCTTCTTGGCACTTCACTATACGCACACATACACAAATTTGAACTGTTTATAGGTTTTTCAGTCATAAAAAAAACATGCCTGTATAGCAGCAAAACTCATAAAAATGCTGCTTCTACCTGATCACAGATCAGACAGACCACCCTTTAAACATACCTGGAGGGAGTGTAATCTGACCCCAGACCTGTGTATGCACAACCTCTCCTATACCACAACAGACTTTTTCAACAGTTGCTGACAAAATGACACCAACACTCACAGCACATCCATATGACACAAAACAAGCATAAGGCCACACATGATCAACAAAGAGAAACCAAACTGCCTCTTTTAGAGGAGTGACATTCAGTGCTTCAGTGGTTCACCTAGGTAAGGCATTGGTCCACCTTTTATCTTCTTCTTTTTTTTTTGGCACACAAAAACATAGATTTACATGCTGACAAGTACACACTTGTGCCTCATTTAAGTAGTCCAGAGCGTAACAGTCAGCTCTGTACTGTAACAACAACATCTGTGAGGCCAACTTGTGTTCAACATTCCAGTTGTAGTTTTTACCAGGGAGACCTTGTATCCCTTTAATACAAAAGTAAAATCCATTAATTTGTCTGTATTCATTCCAGAGAAGCCTGTCCAAATGTTGCATGACCATCTGGCACTACTTAGGCTGGAGTTTTTTGGGTGTCCCCTGCTTCTTAGTCTGCCATAAATGGCTGGCAATGGTGATGGCATCCACACTGGCGGACATGGTTTTGGCTGGGATCTGGCTGAACTGCTTCCTGTCTGAGTTGTACTTATACAGGCCCTCAATCATCTTAGTCTTGATGCTTCTTGGCCCGATGCCAGCCAGCTTGGTGATCTCCTCGGTCTCGGGACAGTAAGTATACACAGACCTGAACTGGCATCCGGCATCACGGAACAACACGAGGAAGTTATTGGCTTCAGATTTTTCCATTTCCTACAGCAAATCACAGAGAAAAATCAGTAAGTGCAGAATATCTTCTTAATGCAACACACATCCATATAAATGCTAGACATACATCAAGTATCTTGTTTTTCTGCCCTTCGTTGACCTTGCCAGCGAGGCAACAGTGAGCCAGGGCATTCTGGATGATGTGTTTGTTAGACTTGGCGCTGGGCTCCTTGTATAGTTTGGGTCCTGGGGAAGAGAAGAAAGTGCAGGTTTACAATGATCATTTTCTGTACAGTAGCTATGTAAATGTACAGTACATGAACTAATAAACAGTGGTTCTAATACCTGTGTATTCAGTGTTGGAGGGAGTGGAGGAGGTAGTAGAATCATTTTCCCAGTCCTTCTCTCCGTTACGACTACCAGCCGAAGGACAAGAAGAAAAGCCTTCTGCAGAGTCTGGCCTGGAGACGAGTACATACAGCAAAATGACAAATATGACAACAAACACATAAAGGCGGATAAGGTACGGAATGAGAGCATACAGACATGCACACAAACAAAAACACAGAGAGATGTGTTGAAACAAAGTCAGACACCGTGACACAATTCTCTAAACCCTGCCTTTGCTGTTTTCTTGCGTTACATCAAACTGTACATACTCTGACAATGCTGTGCAGTGAAGGATAGAGAGGCATGTTCAGACAAGCAAAGCAAAGTCTTTATGGTTACAGTACTGCCAGAGATGATCTCAAGTACTTGTGGTGGAAACAGCAAACACAGTGGTAAAGCGCGGAGCAGCCAGCGCAGAGCAGAAAGCAAATAACAGCCTGAGTGCGAATGATAGAGGATAAAGAGCAGGGGAACTGAGTCAGAAACAGCTCAGCCATGCAGGGACTTTACTACAGAATATACAAAAAGAATTGAAGGTTAACACGTCTGTCTTCTTTTATGCATCTGTGTTGAATGAATGTCATTAATTGGATGAAAGCAGGCTGAGTCTAAGTTACATGGATCTATACGTATTTACAGTAGTTTACTACACGTCATCTATCCAAGCACGTCTTTTCGGAGCATTACTAACCTGCCCTTTCTTTCTTTGGGAGAACTTAGAAAGAACGGGATATGGGCAGAAGCTACTTTATTGCTTCTGCAGGATGCATGCAAAAAACTAAAGAAAAAAGCAGAGAAGGATAAAAGAGAATCCAGCTGCACACTGTAAACCAGAAAACCATAAGTGCAATAACCATAAGGAGACCATAAACAAGTCATGTCAGAGACTTAATATATGATAGCAATAATTTCATTAATAAAACCGATAGCTGAGTGTTTAATAACTGGGGGCAGTAAGGAAATGTGGGGTGGGAGGTTTAAATGTTATGACTTAAATTGTGGAAGTGAGCGTAAAAATGGTGAAACAATAGAGTGCCATGGGGTGACATATTTTTGTAGGCCAGCCCAGAAGTTAGCATCACCTTAGTTCCTTCGACAAAAAGCCAATGGGATTTTTCAAAAGGCTTTTGGTTTATTGCAGAAAATAAGCTCTGTGACAACAGTTTATGACATACTGTATACACGTTGCTCAGCAAGATAATCTTCAGGTGAACACCACTTTATGATTTCTGAAGCCAAAAATACAATCACCAGACATAAAAAACTATTGTTAGGCTATAAACAAACTACACCACAGTCCCATAATGTCAGCATCGCTGATTTCTAGCACTTACTTCTGCTACAAAATCCTTTCCTCTTAGCGTGACCTGATCCAGCTAGTGATGATGGCTGGGTCAGTCAGTTAGAATAGTTTACAAGTGTGTGAGTTTAAACATAATGAGGCTGTAAAGGATGACATTTAATATCCCAGATAGCCTCTACAGTCACATTTAACCACTTGCTAGCAACAGCCTTTTTTAAGACTCATGAAATCATTAAAAATCACGAGTGGAGTACTTACTAATGTACTTTATGTCACAGAACAAAATGTGAAAATGTACTGACCTTGTGTTAGTCACAGACCTTATTTCAAGCGTCCAACCAAAAACCCATTAAAAAAACCCACTGACTTCAGTGCGAGGAAAGTGGAAGTTGCTGAAAAGGCTGACTCCCTTCTAGGTTTTAGGACTCACTACTACGGCACTCTATAAAAAAAAAACACTGCTCAGCTGCAGAAACCAAGTGTAGTATTTAAAAAGGTAAAACTGAAATAAAGGTTTTTCTAAGATCCTTGCTGTAGCTACTTTTGTATAAACATAACTAGTGTGATATTGATGTAATCTAAAACTACATATGACTGTAAGGAACTTGATGTTGCATGTAAAGTGCACATGAAAACTGAAGTCAGCTCATATTTGTTGGACAATTTTGATTAGTAACTCTGATTTTGGATGAGAATGAAGATGTCTAAAGAAGACCAAAGATCTTGGAATCAAGAAAGTAACTGATCTGTGTCATCTTGAAAGATAAGAGCACACAGTGTTGGTGCGTGATTACTGTACAGTGTCAGTGTTTTTGTTTTGTATTTTCCACCTAAATGAGAGGTGTAATTCTTTGTTTTTTAAAGTAAATCTTAGACTACAATTACAATATTTGTTTTGGTATTTTTTTTAACATAAATTAAATGATGTATCTAATCCCACCCACAGACAGAAAGTGGGTCTTACCTGTTGTTCTTCCTGTTATTTGGCTGGTCTCTGTCATTGTCAGCAAGACTGAGCGATGCCAAAGAAACACTAGATACTGAGAAGCCTCGAGGATGCACCCCTACAACATAACAACGTTCAATCATGGATCAAGTGGCTGCTGTGTAGTGATACTGTGTGTTTGAGCATGCTCTTTGTGTTGTGCTCACCTGTTGCTCTGACAGGAGGAGTAGACAACTCTGTGAGGTCCCTGTGGATGGACTTGGGACGTGGCTTCTTCTTGAGACTTCCAGATCGAGGCTTGATGACTTCATTCATGTCCTCCATCAGCTTGAGCTGCTTCCTCCTCAAATACTCATTCCTGATGTATTCCTTCCTCGCTTTTTCTTCATCCTTCTTCTGCTGCTCCTCCTCTGCTTTCAACCTGCAGGAGGAGAAAACAATTAGGATTCTTTAACCTGAGAAAAATGATTTCTGTACATTGTTGTTTTCAACAGAGCAGGACAGCCTCGTGTCTGCTATAACCCCATAAACAGACCGTGCAGCTTCTCTCTTATGCTCCTGGTCGAGCTCCTGCTGTTGTTTCCTTTCCTGAGCCTCCTTCTCCCTTCTCAGCCTCTTCTCTAGCAGCGCTGCTTTCTTTGCTGCCATGTCCTCTTCCCCTTTCACATCATCCTGATGTTTAATGAAACATAACCATAGTTTATAAAGGATCAGTAAGACAATGATGTCTATATTTTTGTCATTTGTCCTCTCAGAAATCAAATGAGAAATGAGAGGGTGCGGAATCCTGATAGTTACATGAGCCGTTTTTAAAGGAAATATTTTTATTTGACAACATTAAATTCATGCATAAATTAAAAGCATTCACTCAAGTCTGGGGGAAAGTGGTGTTTAAATAGGCAAATATTGACCTTATGTTAACAAAAGAACTGACATTGCTCTATAATCACAGCTCTAATACACTATGTGATCATAGTTTGATTGTAGTTGTATCCAAACTAGGGGGTGGGGGCCACTTGGGGGCTGCAAGCCAGGGCAGGAGGCACACATGACAATGCTTGTCAAATACAGGTGCAACTAACTTTACCATCTGCTGCACTGTACTGCAATAACCAATCATTTGTTTGGGACAACACAGGAATAAGAGCTGATCTGATGCAAGCAAAGCTGCCAAGGTTAAACAGGAAGAAAGGCCATTTGTGTTACTCCTGAAGGACACATGTCAAGCAAATCCAAAATATGTAGCTCACCTTGAAGAAGAATCCACAGCACATCTTTTGGTCTTCTCCACAAGTGTCACCTCCAGCTTCTTCTTCTATAGTTGTCTCCTCACTGCCACCATCTGGAGGCTTAAACCCAGACAGAGGCACCTCCACCAAGTCTCTCCTGTCCTGGGGGTCTCCTTTGAGCCTGCTGCCAGTGGGCCCTTGGATCTCAGACACTGGCTGACACAACATCTGTGATGTCCTTGACTGTTTGACTTCAGCCTTCGACTGAGCCTGCTCTGCCTCTCTCCTCTCCCCCTGTCGCTGCTGATAATCCTTCTCTTTTGCTGCTTCTTTAGTGGGAGGCTGAGGAGTGCCAGCACTCTTCTTTGCCACTGTCTCTTCTTTGTCTTTACTCTTTTCTTTGTTGTTCTTGGCCTCTTGGTTCTTGTTTTCCCCAGGCCCCTCATCATGACTCAAGTAGGCAAAAGAGCTGAGCTGGGTTTGACTGGTGGTGAAACGTCTCAGTCTGGGTAGGCTGTCCACTGAGGTCGGGGTGTTTAGCATTCGGCTGAAGGGAGTGACCTTCAGGTCATTTGGTCGTGGAGTCCGAGGTGTCCTGGCATGGAAGGAGGCTGGTCTCCGCTTGATGCCAGCAGGGGAGTGATTGGGGTCACGAGGAGACCCGGACGAAGACAGGATGGGGGACAGCGACCCCACAGAGCCTTGGCCTGATCCCCGGCCTGTTACACTACTGCTACGCAACTCACGGAGCTGCCTGTGTGGAACAAACACCCACAAGTGTTTATATAATCATGAAAAAATTATTTTTCTGACAACATGAATATTTACCACGTGATACCTGTGTGGAGATGGAGCAGGTGGAGGAATGACCCAGGCTTGCTGCTGCTGCTCTCTCATGGCCATGATCTTCTCCTGCTGCTGGGCCAAACGCTGCATCTCTGTCTGCAGGAAGCCCAGTGACGTGTTCAGCCTCTCAATGGAGCGTGTGTATTCTGCAAGGTCGATTTCTCCTGGAGCCACACCTGTATTACCACATGCACAAATATCTTGGTCAGTCCTTGAAAACACACAATTTCAGCAGTTTTCTTAACATTTTATAAACTCATAGATCAGTCAGTAACTTCTGTTGTTGGCCCACCTCCACCATCCTCACAGGGAGATTTGGGGGCAGCTCCATCTGGTTTGCATCTCTCTGCCCGCTCTATGCTGCCCTGGCTAGTTTCCTTAGAGGATGTGAGTACCTCTGGGGAGGGGGTTTCTGCTCCCCCTGAGCTTGAGCTGAGGGGAGAAGTGACTCCTTTTCTTTTCACTACATTCAGAAAGGCTGTTCTGCCCATCCTCTGGCGATGGCGGGTAAAAGCTGCTTCCACCTGGAAATGTGATAAGTGTGACATGATGTGAACTTTTACACTTAAAGCTACACTACTGGCCATCTTTGTTTGTCTGTATCTGTTTACCTTCTTCTTCTGGGCCTCAATGGCTCTGCGTTTTTCTTCTAGCTTCATTCTCAGCTGAATCATCTCTGAGGCTATAAGGTGGGAGGGGTCTCTTGGGGTTGGCACTGCAGGAGTTGGAGATGTGATTGGCAAAGGAGGTGAAGAGATCTAGAAAAACAGGGCAAAGATCATTAATATTAATTCAAAGCTAATCTACATCAACTCAGACTATTTCTCCCTCTGCAAAAAGACTGAATAACAGAGTAAGTCAGAAACCTGAGAAGTGGTATTTCTGGGGTGTGCATATGGCACGCTGAGGTCTGAACTCTCTGGTGTGGTTCCTCCACTACTCTTCCCCTCTAATTTCCTGAACTTCTGCTCTGCAAAGCTTGTCATCCGCACCATGCCTCCTCCAGAGCCACCAGAGGATGAGACGGGGCTGACAGTGTGAGATCTGTGGAGTGTGGGTGCTGAACTGGGATAGGGACTGCTCCTGTCACCTCCATCTCCCCTCTCACATTGAAGGTTAGTGTCACCGACCCCTTTGTGTCCTCCTTCCCTGTTTTCCCCCTTCTCTGGACGGTCAGGCAGAGGGCATGACCTGGTCATGGCCTCACAGTCTGGGTCCATATCTGAATAGTCTCTAAGAGAAGAGGAGTCCTCATCCAAGCTCTGGATGTCCTCAGTCCTCACTTGGATGCCAGTGTCAACTTCATCAGTGGACACGGAGGTGGGGTCGTGGTCATTCAGCTGACCCTTAGTTGAACCTAGGTCGTCGCCTTGACCTTGGACCCCTGGAGGATCTGACGGCTGCGCACCATGGAGAAAGAAGCCACTGTCTCCGTCGCCCATGCCCAGGCTTGCGTTTGGCCTTTCTGTGTCATGGATAATCTTCAGGGCCTCCTCAATGCTTGGAGGGGTTGACGGGCTGATGGGGCCACTGTGATTGCAATGGTGATTGTTGGAGCTGTGGTTGCTGTCCGGGAGGACTCCATTGGAGCACCTAAAGATAGTGAAAGATGATGGATGCTAATTTCACATAAAATACATATAATATTTATGTATCTACATTTATTATACTATATACTATAAAATGAGATGTAATTAGACCTGATCCAAATCAGATGTGCTATAACATCATACAGACATGTGGTTGCTGATCAAATAATTCATTTGCAATTAGTCTGTAATTTTCAAAATTTTTTATGTAGATTTTTAAGAAAAACAATCATTAATCACTATCACTAAGCAAATGAACACAAGATATATGGCTTTATTAATAGCTACTGTCTGACCCAGCACACTGAATAAATGAATTCAGCTGAGCAAAACTGTGATAATCATTTAACCAGTAAACTTAATAATGCCAATAATGAATTTGTCTCACATAACAAATATTATAAAATTCTCCAAAAGTAAAAGCTTACCCCTTTAAACTTACAATTTACAGGATAATGTAATATCTACTAACGCCTCACTGTGCCGTACCTGCTTTGGTTCTTGATGGAGAATGTGTTGTTCCGCCCCAGGGGTTTGTGTGGGGTGAAGCCCTCGGCCTCCTCTGGTATGTGTCTGCCCTGGCCATTTACTCTGGTGGGCATGAGGGAGAGGTGGCGCTTCATGCCTCCTCGAGATGCATAGTGAACTTTGAACCCAAGACCGTCACTGCTGGCAGAGCGGGTCATACCACGGAGGGATGGGGCTTCACAGGGTGGCACCATTTGGTCTCCCTCCAGAGGAATCTCAAAGGAGATCCCCTGAGAGGAGGAGCTGAGGGAGGAGGGTCATTTGCCGTTAGAGTAACAGGGAAACAACAGACTGCGTTGTAGGTCAGTGAAGGAATGTAGGGCTGATAGAGTTCATGAACTAACCGTTTTTCTTTGGGCCACGTTCCAACACAACCATCTACATAGGACATGGAGGTAGATCTCTTAATTATGCCTGCTGCAGACACAGAGTAGTTTGTTTAAGTATATTACTGAATCTATAATAGCTACATTTTTAAGTACAGGATTCAAATGCAGTAGGGGAGCATTACTGCATAACTCTAAATCTGCCACTAGAGGGCCTCTGGTTTCAAAACAAAACACATCCACACTTTTCTCTAGTGTTCTGTATTCAAGCCCCCAAGTAACTACTGCATATCAGCAGGACCCTCTGTTTTACCTGACCGGGTCTTACCTACGATCAGCCAGCCAGCAGCATATCTGTGTCCCCATGATCACTAAAGATATACCCTCAACCGTTGCTGTAAATGACCAATGTGATTTCTATGAGTATACATAATCTTTGCCCTAGCAAACTCATGTATATATTGTACCATTGGGTCCCCCAGAATGCCTTAGAGGGGATGCACCTGGCAGGGTCCTCTTAGAGGCTATAACAAAATGGTTTTCTCTGCATACAGTACTGGTGTGCCACTTAATATATTTTACCTTCAGCAGGGATATTCTCTGGGCTGTCAGGTCTGTCTGCATAGTTTTGTTTGACGGGACTGGGAAAAGCAGCCATATTTCTACAGGACACAAGCTCACAGACTGCAGAAGACAACACAAAATATGTCATACATGTAACACTGATTTGTAACTTTGAATTAACTTTCAAGTTACCAGTTACCATCATGATACCTGTGAACAAATAGCATGCCGATATTGCACTGATATAGCACTGTACCGTTTGGGTTGAAGACTCTGGGCTGTACAAATGAGGGCTTAACCACTTCAAACCACCAGAAAAGCTCAGCCATAAACACCAGGTAGTTACTCTGTAAGACCATGCACACAAACACACACATTTTTGTGGTTAATGTTGCAGTCATACAAAAGGATATTTATCAACGTCATTATCACAACATTTGGATCTTTGCAGCTGTAGCTCCTTCTCCCCGTTTGTCTCCATAAAGATGAAATTGCAGTACGAAAGTGTTTTGACTGATCACTGAGGTCATGGTCTGCCAACTGTTGCTAAGTAACAGGCTCAGATGTGTTTGAGTTTGTGCATGAGTATGTACTTGAATATTTATTCATGTATCATCCGAGTTATTTAATGTAAGACCCATATGCCTCTTGAGAAACACCGTCTGGAGTTTAGCTTAAATATGTCACATGCACAGGTAGATGCACATAGCAGTGAGTGAGTGACCCACATCAAAAATCAATGCATTCATGTTATAAACAGCTCTGGAGGCCTATACAGATGATTGTATGTGGAGGAAACACACACTAACTAACTAGTTCTATCTAGTGGGAATAAAATGACAAAACCAACAAAAACTAAGATTTCTTTCCCTCTATACTGCTACACTTATTTTGGAGGCAGCAAAGTGAACTGCTCATTATGATGCACAACATTTCTTCTTATGTAATGTATCAAATGAAGGGACACACACACAAGATTCATTAGGCAGTGAGTCTGTGGTGAATGGGCAGAGCCTTTATGGAGCCTTCATGGAGGCTTCTCCATTTTTCACCCTCCTTTGCCTACTTGCACTTTCATAGCACTATACCGTATAATCAATACAAACACACTATAAACAATGTAAAGAACAAGAAGTGAATAAAGAAAGAGAGAAACACAGAGCAAAAAGTGGGAAAACTATCTGCTGTGTTGCTCTGGAGAACAGAAATTCCCAGTCAGCTTGGACTGTGACTTGAATCCAAATGCTTCTACCCACGCTCTCTGCATACTATTTACCCACACAGGCTGTGCCGCTTCTAATGTCAGCCTGCAAGAGGATGCTTTTACCTTGTACAATAATTCTGCTATTAATGGAACACGTGTGTGAAATGGGGCTATCTCTGCCTGAGCGAATCAGGAGCTGTATTGTTTGTAAAGTTGACAGATTTTGTTGTTTGATAAAAAAAACAAAACAAACAAAAAACAAACAAACAGTGGGACTGTGGAGGGGAGAAGAACAAGAGAGACAGGCAGAGACGGGTCAGGACTGTGAATCTCCTCTGATTGGGGAAGGGTGTATCTGGCCCGTAGCATCTACAAAAGCACCAACACACACAGGCTGTCGTATTCAGTTCATTTGGCAGCAAAGCAAAACTCACTGTAGCAAAATGATCTTTCTGTCCCTAATACTGTACAAGCACACACATACACACAATAGCAACCCTTGTGAGAACCAATCCTACTACAGTACGCACATATTCATTATTAAGCTTTTCCATGGATGACTCACTTTTGCCTGTTTGTAATTTGTCAACCTGGCTCTTGTTATTCCCCAAAACTCCCTTCTTTTCACTCTTACATCTGAATCCACATCCTTCACATTCATTTATAGGAATATTTCACCATCTGCCTCCCTACCTTTATGGATGCATGTGCGTAGAGCATGTCCTCCAGGCTGAAG